CTGAGCGAGATGGCTATGCAAGCCTTGAAGCTCTGTTGGCAGACGACATTGCAGAACATGCAAAAGACTGGTGTGATTTCATTGCTCAACAAACTGGCGTGAAGGCTGGGCCCAAAACTATATGCGAAGTCTTTGCCGTTGATGTTAGAATGTTTGTATTTGTATCGTCGTAGTAGTAGTAGTAGTATTGAATCGAATTGAATCTAAGCTTGTACATTGTAAATTGTAAACTTGTAAGTAAGTTATAGTTGAATTTGATTTGTGACAGTTCAAACTTCAAACTATTGTAAAAATGTAAATCCAAATTCACACCACACACAGATTTCAATCTCAACCGTTTTTGCATTGTACAGGATCACACCAATGACAGTGCCATTGATGTGGTGGAGTCTGGGAATGAATCAGCTGATGATAACAATAACGATGAGGACATTCCACCCGATGATGCAGCAGAATATGATGAGGATTCTCCCTACGCGAAGCCACCAGATGCACGTCTCTACCCGAACATCAATCGTGTTTTGGAGTCAGCAGCTGAGGCGCTTTGATTACTGTCAATCATGCATTTAAGGGATGGTTGTTTGTTTTAGTAATAGTTTTAGTTTTGATGACATTGATCCGATTCGATATGTGCTTAACCCTTTAGTTTATGTAGTTCATACCACTTCTTACATAATACAACAATGTGTTTACTATTAAAACGTTTACAACTTAAAACTATTTATGATATACTAGCTTGACTAGTATATTGTTGGTATATGCCCCTGAGATCATGGTATCGCGAATCGCTGATGGGCCTCAAGCTTCTTCCATTGCAGAGAGACTACGTTCATGGCCGCGCACAATTCATGTTGCCGACATGTTCTCCGGGGCAGGAACATTTCACAAAGTGATGGAGGCAATTTTGAGGGCCCTGAAGATGAAGTTTGCATCAAGCATGAAAGATGTGGAGGCACACTTCCCAGCTTTACGTGTTGGCTCAGGGATAGTAAGTCTTATTGAATACTAATATAGTATAGTTAGTATGGTTCAGTAAGTAAGTATATGTAAGCATATATATATAGTATATATTGAAATATACTAGTACAATTCTATGTAATACTATTTTAATAAAGGATAACCAATCTATAACTTGGTTGGTGCAAGCGCAAACTCAAACAACCCAAAGCCCCTGCCAGGTGGTGCACGATTATATGTGCGAGTGGATTTCCTTCAAGCAAAAGTTCTTGCTTGCAAACGTGCACGATCCGTCTTGCTGTTTGTTCAAGAATGCGCTGAACATGTTTGGAGATGAACGCTATTGCTGCCGACACGGCCGGAGATGTGTCTTTTGGTTAGTATGTTTAGCAAGTATGTCACTTACATGTTGCCTGGCCTAGTATATCAGAATCAGAACTATATAATAATATAATAACTATACTATATACTCTATACTAAAGTAACTTTACTAAAGTATGTGACCATATGTTTGCATCATCATGAATCCTAATAGTATTTATCTTATTGTACTACACTTATGTATATTGTTTCCAGCGTTCCATTGAACTTGATTCGCACACTGAGGATTTGCCGGGGGAACTCTTTGGGTTCAATGCTGGCTTCTCATGCAAGTCCTTTAGCAAACTTCATCCAGATTGGCAATCAATGAAGCGTGCAATGCAGGAAGACAACGATGAAGCTTAGACTATAATGGTTAGATTAGATTCGACTTGACTTATAACTTATATAACCAAATTGCCACTGAGTTACAAGCATGGGCAAACCCAAGCTGCCAGTAGACTCTGCACACTGTAGATTATGAACGTTTTGACTACGCGCTGAAACATGATCAGCCAACCAGCTACTTCATGCTGATCTGAGGAAAGCAGCTCAGTTGTGACCTTCAAATGCGTCACCCGTGTCCTTGATACGACTTCGTGCGGATGGTTCGTCCTGGAGAATGTTGATATGGATGATGAATCGAAGAACAGCAACCTCAATCTCATTCTACAATCTCTGCAGAACTCAGGACCTTCTGGTTTCAATGTGCGGTGCTTCAAAGTGGTAAGCTCTGACTTTGGGTTGCCTCAAAGACGTGTGCGGCTCTACTTTGCCGGTGTGAGCTGTCACCACTACCCAAACGTCAACATGGAAAACATCTCCAAGCACTTGAACCTTTTCAAGCTCAAGAAACAACCACCTGTGCCCCAACGGCAGTGGTTGAGTAGGACCGCAAATAACTTACAATTAGCTGCTAACTGTTGACAAGATTCAATTTGGGATTATCTCAAGACTGACTCTAGACTCTAGACTAGACCCATGATTTGATTCGATACTAATAATTATCATGTTATGTCATGAGTCATGAGTTATGATTAGTTTTATATTATTAGTATATATTCATTTTTTTGTTGTTACTTACACTCAGTCAATATATGAAGCCTCGCTGGACTGTAGTTGTTGGATGTCAAATCAATTCATGCCAAGGAAGATTATATGCTTCCCAACGATGATGATGCTGTGAATGATGAGCTGGACAGGCGCATAGAACGCAAACAAAAGGCGCAAGAGAGGACAGAGAAGGAGCTTGATCTTGATGAACCACCACCAAAAAAGGAGAAGACTTCGAAGGACAAGGACAAGGATGAAGGTAAGGACGATAATGCTAAATGGAAAACACTACACATGGGCATCGCAGAAAAGCGTAGCTTAGCTTAAGTCAAGTCACTTGAGCCAGTCAATCAAACCCAGTTTGGACAAGTAACATACTACAAATCATTGCTAGACTGACTACATATTTGTACCTTTTTGTGTTTTGTTTCATGATCGTTGCTCTCCTGAATTCCCGCAAAGACACCGTCACTGACCATATCCACATCTCTCAGGTGGAATTCGATGGCCCTTGTCTGTGCCGAAGTCGTTGACAGATTGTGAGTGGTTCCAGAGTCTATCTACAAGGGAACAAGAGGACAGACAATCGGGTATTCATGGAGAGAGTCAAGACTCAAGAGAATCAAAAACACAATTGGTTTCGGTTTCTGTCATCAGCATGTAATATGTTGTATTGTTGTTACACTAGGCTGTGCTATTGCAAAGTCATTGCAATGTCAAGAGTCAAGAGTCAAGAGACCTGTGTCTAGTCTAGCTGTTGCGACAGCCTTTGAATCTGACAAGCTTGCAGAATGTGCTGTTCATGCTGGACGATCAGAAGACTCGACGTCAAGCTGGCAAGGCAGAGTTGAGATTCGGAGACTTGTACCAGTCGGCCAGTCGGCTGCCAACAAGTTCAGATCAGGAGTCTAAGCTATAAGTTGGTTTGAAGTTTCAAGTCATTCTTTAATTGTTGAAAGTTCTTCTTTCCATTCATTCAATGACTCAATGACTTGCCGACCTGCAAAATGCTTTATTCCTTCCTTGTGTGCCCAAGGAGCTTCCAACTATCCTTCCAGCCAGCAAGCTCTATGACATCAAGCGTCACCGACTACTTCTTGGATCCTTATCTTATTATTTTCCTGCTGATGTATTACATTACAGTTGGTCCTTTGTCATGTGTACTTTTGTTTTAGTTTTATCTTTAGTCTTGGTATGTCTTGGTCTTAGTGTCTGTTCACTTGTATTTGTTGATTTGGCGCCAGTCAGACTCAGAACAACTGAGGACGTGAACTGTTGCATATGCAAGGGTTGCAATATGGTTCTGCGATTGATCAGTTCTCTGAACAACAACTGACCGATTTAGCGGGCAATTCGTTACTTGAGAGATTTGATTCGGCATATTTATTTGACTGAATTTGCCTTTGACTTTGACTTTAAGTATAGTGGCTTACAACCATATGAACATGTTATGTTATGAATTTTAAACTTTCTGAACTAATTGGTGGCTGGCCCAAATCTAAGGGCACATTTATGAGAACATCACATTGTTTGATGTACTAGTACACTGAATTGTCACCTGCAGGTTTAGTTCAACGGTATGCTGTGCAGTGATTCTCAGCGTGCTCTTGGAACTTGAGCAAGCAACTGAATCTGAGATGGAAGAAGAGGAGGAGCTGACAAGCCTGGTCGATAAGCTACTAGGATCAATCAATGACAATGACAACTGTTGTGTTGAGTTGAGTTCAAACCACATGCCACTTTTTGGGGAACCACTATCATTTAAGTAAGGAGGTAGACAAAGAGGGACTATAATTACAAAGACATGACCGATCATCAAATTTGTGTGTTTCCTACACGCTGATACAACAACTTTGACGACAACGCCAACAAACAACATAACTTAACATACCACAACGCCAACACACACACACACTTACCCTGAGGTTGAAGCGCCAACGACAACCTTGATGGCGATGTGATCTACAAGATGATGGCTTTGATTTGAATGCATGATGACAGTCACTGGTGTTTTCCAGACATAGACCCAGTTGTGCAGTGTACTCACTAGAGTATGAGGGATGCATAGCTGGTCTTGATTCTTGAAGCGACCAGCCAATTCAGAGCACCGACATTTTGTGGCAAAGAGTTGAAACAGATCTCCTTTTTGCCAGTGCTATGCAGACCGAGCCGTTTGCAGACAACGACGACCTGTCACACCAAGAAGAAAAAAGGAACCTATTTCACTTTTGTGCTGCGTGTTGTTTTACTCCCATGGCTTGTGACATTGGTTTGGTCCATGTGCGTGTAACTAACTATTTGTTTATGAATATGTATACTATCTACAGTGAGCGTTTTGTACACATAAGTATGTGTACTTGCTCCAATATCGTACTCCTCGCCCAGTAGTCGCACCACCCGGCTGCACCAGTCGCACCCCCCAGTCGCTCCAGTCGCACCCCCCAGTCGCACACTCTACTCGTACCCATATCCAACATACCCTCCAGAGCATGGCTCTTGGAGTTAGCTAAATTTCACAATTCAATTCCCATGTTAATTGTTTTTTTTTAAAGCTTTTGCTCGTCCAAAAAGACACAAAATAAGACATGGTCGACCGCTTCTTTTCTTTTCGCCGAGCTCCTCCCCACCAGGATGTGCATTCCTTCATCACCGCGGATCGCATCCCCGGAGGTGCCGAGCAGTTCGGCTGGCCGCCGGAGTCCATCAGCATCCACACGGGCACCATGGCTGTCCAGGCTGCGCTGCTGGAGGCCTCCAGAACGGAGACCAGCGATCATAACCAGGAGAGGCTGGGGTTTAAGGACATGCTTTGGAGAACAAGGGGGTCAAAAGGACTGGTGATGGTTATACAAAGTTATATACCGTTTCCTTGACCCAGCTGCCCCCCACATGTCAAGACGATGTAGCGGACTATACAACCCATGACGCTTTCTGAAAGGACACCACATCATGGAAAAAGAAGGCAACGTTTTGTCACAAAGCAATGTATATATATATAGTACAGTGTACAGTCAACAATATGTCAAACGTGGCAATTGACCTCTTATAGGAGGCAGTTGTGACTGATAGGAGCCAAAGAGACAGTTCCATGTGCTCTCTTTGTAAGTGCTTGGTTTTGTCAACCCCCGAATCACAAGCCTCCTCACCTTCTCCGAAGCCTGGGTTCAGCGAGAATGGCAGGAGCTCTTCCGGGGGCCTCCGCCGGTCTTGAACGCGATGCTCGCAAAGCTGGCTGGGGAGGAAGATCTCAACATCCTCCATGGAGTCTTGGCGCTAAGATCCCAACGAAAAGTCTTTAGACTTCGGGGTCCTCCGAGGTCCGTAATTGATTGAAAAAACAAGAGCCCAACCAGCTTGCTATTTTTTGGTGGAGTGAACGTGTCGAGTCTTATTAAGTTATTGTTTTGTGCTTAACTTGGCAATGACGTCGATAATTGGTGCAGATTGAATGGTTTGAACTCACGCCTCTCCAGCGTTTGAAGACACAGATTTGGGGAGACTGTACCAGATTTCTGACATGCCATCATGTGGAACCTGAGACGTGCTCGAGCAATTCCCAAACAAAGCATGTCAGTAGTTCCTTAATTCCTTTCGGTGTTGAATCAGGTGCGGCAATAAAAACCCCCCCACTCTACCACTCTACATTAAACAGTTTTTGTCATTCCTATGGATTTGTTCAATGGTTTTCCCCATTCTTGCTGTAACTGTAAGTGTTTCTATTTTCTTGCATTTGTGGAAGCTTTCCAACCCTTGATTTCACAAAGGCTAGTCCTAGTTCCTATTCAGAAGTCTCACTTCAAGACGAATGCAAATGTAATTTTTCTTTGCCCCCCTATTGTCATAGATAGTCATAGACTCCAGCTAGTTGGGAGAGCCCTCACCGCTCTGAGCAGAGGCCCCGAGCACTCGGAGTCCCTCCGGTGGCCGCCCGAGAAACCCCGGCTCCACCGGAGCCGCTCGAGCGGATCCGGACGGGCAAAGACCTGATCCGGGCGTCCACCTCGCGGAAGCAAGGGCACCGTGCTGCTGGGAGGGGGGGAGCTTAGGGCTTAGGGTGGCTTATGGTGGGGTGGTTTTGGAGCTGATGATTGGGGTGATTCTTGAGAAAGACTCAAGCTTTGGGCCAGGAATCCGCAAACCAGCCCAAAACTGGCTCAAGAGTAGGCGGACAGACGTGGAGTGTTGCAAAGGGGACCTGGGCCCCGCCGTGGGCTGTGGAGGATTCGAAGAACAGATCAGGCGATCTCTCACATCGTGAACTTGCAACCTGTTTGCATCTTGGCTGGCCTGGCCCCTTGCCAGAACAAAACGGACCACATCTGAGGTTTCGTATTGCGGGCTACGTGGTCGAGGTGAAAGACTGCCGCGGGCCTTCTGGCGCTGCCCCTGCCCGTGTTTATTACGCACGATCCAGTGAGCAGCGGAAGGCGGGACTTAAAGCAGCTGGGGAGGGACATGTTCGTGCTGTGACAGCGCCCAGCCCCCTCGACACCTTCCAATATGTTTGCCGCGGTTTGAGCCGCCGCAGTGTGCTCAGAGACTTGTTTCAAACCGATTTGTTGGCACATTTGAGATGGGTTGTGACAAAAGAATCGTTGTGGTATGTACAGCGTCTGCTCACATCACTCTATTCTATGATACTTTATGGCATATCCCGCATATTCCTGGTGCTGGGTCAACAATTTGCAACAGTATTGATTGGACAGGACATGTCTGTGTTCCATGATTTTTTGCAGGATCATGAGTGGTGATGTGTTTTGATATCCAATTGTATTTGAATAGTTACTGATTGTTTCTTCGGCCTTGGGCTGCTAGAGAATCAAGGAAAGATTGGCAGATTGTTGGAGAAACTCCTCATGTCAATAACTGCGCCGTCTCAAATCGAGCGGCCGCGCCCTCAGAAACACATCTCAGCGGTTTGGTGGCTTAGAGGTCCTAGCCATCTTGATTAATTCTGAGATATTCTGAGGCGTTCACATCGGTTACAAGTGCCTACTCGTGCTGTCCAGGTGGATGATGTTGAGTTCCTAGTGCCACGGCTTCGCAGCACTGGCCAGGCCATTTGGCGGCGAGGCAGGGGGGTGGCCGGTACTGGCCCTGCGATGTCCTGCACTGCACGCTTATAAAAAGCCGCAGTCGGATCATGTTTGCTCAGTCGGCCGGTACTTCCTTCCTTTAGCAAAGGGTGAATCAGATCCTAGCCGCTGCTTGGGGCAAACTCATCATTTTAACAGGGTGGCTTTAGGACTGTGAGGGGTAGGGACGACACCTATATATCTAATATGTTACATAAGGGAACAGACCCATGTCAGTTGCAGTCAGTTGCAGTCGAGGTGGCAGGTATCAATTTCGTCTACGCGGATGCTGCGATCGATCGTCGGCTCCAGACCCATATTCACTTCGACAGGCAGCCTGGGTCACCAGGACAGTGTGGTGGGCTATGTTAACTGTTTTGGAGATGTAGTTGCAGCTGCCGCACCTCATGGGCGATGGGGGTAGTAGAGGCAGCGGTGTAGTTTGGACATAACTTGATCGTGCCATCCGGCTCTTGTGGGGGGTGCATGGCTATAGATTCGCATGTTCTGCCTAAAAAGCTTAAAGATGTGGCACTGTTAACTACATTCCGGAGTCGTAGTAGCTAGTTCGGGGTCAATGGACTGGTGAAGGGGCGAGCCATCCCCCCGAGCCGTGACATGGCATAGAGTTTGTGCGGGTGGGTGCTGAACATCAGGCAGCTAAGTCGGTTTAAATTGGTAAGGACCTTCTGAAGGCACTTGAGAAGGTTAACCGGGATGTGGATCTAACCAAGATTTTTGTGTGCAAGAAGATCTATATAGTACCTAAAACCATTGTAGGTAATGATATGTATAGTAGTTGTGCAATCTTTCCAGCAAGTCTACATGCTGAGGTGCAACACATACACTGCCCTAAAAAACAATCGCGTTTGGGTTTGGTACAGTGGAACGCCCCGCTTGCTGATTCTTCACTTTGCTAGGTGAACCACTCCCCTCCGTGCGCCTCTCAGGTGATCTCTGAGTGGTCGGAGGCCACGAGTCTCACCGGACAACGTCCCCGACTGCGGCGCTTCAAGAGCGCTCCGAGCCTTTGAGGTGTCAATGAGGAGTTGTTCCACAGCTGTGGGTCTGGCCGTGGGCCAGAACTTTGAAGGGTGAATATACATATTATTGGACAATCATGTATAATGCCGCTGCTTGAAACGTGAGTCATTGAAGACCTCAGAGCTACTTGAGATGCCAATGTACAACACTTGCTTGGGTCGTGGTTGAAACAGGGATTGCTGCCCGGGCTATCGCGCTATTGTGTTGGGAAAAGATCGACCTGGTGGAATTAGCATGGGGTGAAAAAAGACACATGATTGGAATATGGTATGGGGACATTTGCTGGAGTGATTGGATTACTTACCTTTGACTTGTCATATCCTCTCCAAGCAGAGCATTCAATTCCACTGGCTGTCATTAATTTAAACATGCATTTGATCAAATGACTTTGGTATGCCCCACTTACCTGTTAATAATGAAGATGGCGGGATGCAGCTTCCACCTGCACTGCACTAGGTTGCAATCCTTTCCGTTGCAAGAAGTATACATATAGTCTATATGCGAATGGAAGTGCAGCGACATGTACAGTGCAACATGTACATATATATATATACCATATGTACTTTGGCTCAAGGATCAAGCGACTAGAAAAGGTGCGGTTTCCGTTCCGACGCTACGCCGCTTATGGACCGTCAGTGATAGCTTCAAACTTCGCTGATTAAGATCCACTCGCAGGTTATCAGCCGTACGCGCTCTTTATAGCCGTACGAGCTACACGAGACCAAGAACAAGACTAGTCATTACAGAAACCTGCAATGTCAAGCTCAGGAGGAATTGGAAGCGAACCCTATTCATTCGCTGCTCCTGGTGGTCCCAACACCATTTCGTCACCGGACTCTACAATGGGTACTGATTCATCAGCAAATGCTGACGTTATCACTATGCCTACAGGATCACAAATCTCGGAAAGATCCGTGCCACCGGCTCGGAATCTGACCGATCTTGCACCCGTAGGACCAAGAAGATCGATGAGAGCTACAACAAGATCTACATCGCCTATAACGTCTACCGCGAGATCCCCAAGAAGGAGTATAGAGAAGAGACGTGACGATGATAGAGGAACAAAAGAGCAAAGAAGAGAGATTCAGCTGGGTGAAGAATTGAGATCGGCGAGAAACGCATACAATTTTCTTCATCAAGAATATGAATGCATCCAAGCCGGATACTCACGGCTACACCACGAGGCTGAAGTGGAGTTCAGGCAAATGTCTGACTACAACAGGAAGATGCAGGAACATCTACAGGAGATGACACAGGAGGATGAAGGAGCGACAATAAGAATTGAAGAGCTCGAACACAAGCTACGCTTGGCGGAATCGACAGCTGAACATATCTACATGAGATATCAAGAGCTTGCACAAGAAACTCATCAAGAACATTCAGAGCTTGAATCTGTGAAAGCAACGAAGGACAGAATGTCCCAAGAGCTTCAAGCAGCAATTGGACACATCCAAGACCAGAATGAATCTTCATTGGTAATCAATAGAAGATCAAAAGCCATTCAGGATGAGAACACAGCCTTCGTTGGAATAGCTGACCAGATACAAGCTAGAATGATTGCGCTACAGGATGAGAATGTCAACATGCATGAGGTGATCCAACACCAGAGAGAAGAACAATGGAACAGTGAGGTCAGGGAGAAACGTCTTCAACACAGTGCTCACTCATCTCAGGATCAGAGCAATCAGGAAGCTATGGTTATTGATCATCTACGAGGTCAACTAGCTATGGCACGTGGAGCTGAACTCAACGCGAAAGCGGAGATGGGAGAGATGGAAGTGGGCATGAGGATGGAGATGTTTATATGCCAGACTGAAGTCTCTGCTAAAGAAATGGCAGATGCGAGGGCGAGCCACCACGAATACGAAGCAAACGTCGCAAAAGAGGTTATCGCAAAAGGAGAAATATTCAACAACGAAGTCCTAGAAGGTTCCATCCGTGAACGACAACAATTGAAAGACGTCAACCTCGCTCTATCCGAAGCCAACGCACAGCTGAAAAGAGAGAATATGATGAGAGCTCCTATGTTCGGCGATGATGGTGCAGAAATTCAACAGAAGATTAGAGAACTGGAAGATGCACTATTGGAAAGCCAGAAGGAGACAAAGAATGTCATTATGGAAAATGCGAAATTAAAAGCAGAAGCACGAATGGCGCCCATAGTCTCTCGGTACAGCAAGCGTCCTAATTCCAGAGACCGCGGGTTACCAACCCACGTGTCCGAGGAAGATGAGGTTCGGAACGCAAAAGAGGAGGCGAAATACTACAAGGATGGGTACAATGAAATGACAGAGAGCCGAGATGAGATGTATGAATGGTATGCCGAAACCCACAATGAGTACGCCGAGGAAAGGGAGAAATCAATTGAGCTATCCGAGGCGAACAAATCATTGAGGGACAAGATTTCAGAAACAGAGGCATCCTCTTCATCTCATCTTGCACCGGCAACCTCTACTGTCATGAAAGTATCGAGGAAAGAAGAATCAAAGATAAACGTTCCGTCATGGCCCAGGATCAATGATATTGGATTATGGAAGGCAAATCTCATTCAATCGATCATCATTGCGGCCAATGACTCAGATCAGGAACCCTGGATCGACTGGATCAAAGAAGCCATGGATGATCCTGATCCGGACAAGTTTGTCGACTCAGGAGACCAAAGATTCCATTCAATCGATGCCAAACTCGGCCTAGCTCTTACCAAGGTCGTCATGGATGCGAAAGATGATGGTTCAGGTGTAGCTATGAAGTTGAGGACAAGGATCAATGCAAAAGGGAGAACATCAAGCCTCATAAAGGGAAGAGAGGTCCTAGCCCTGATCCTCATGAATTTCAAGACAACATCAAATGTGGAAGTCTTATATACTTCAATGCACCTCTACCAACTAGAATATCAAGGAGACAAGAACTTATCGTTGTTCTTCCACACTTGGGATGAGATTCTGGCAGGAATGAAGCCCGTTGACGTCCCGAGCGACGAAACTCTTCGGGATCTCCTATGGAGAAAGATCAGGAACTCAAACCTCATGGCATACGACATCAGCGCCTACAACAGCATGAACGACGATGATGCCAAGAAAACATACAAACATCTACGTGATATGATCAGAAGGCACATCGAACGGCAAACTGAAGACAGAATGATCCTGGAAAAGGAGAAGGCAGTGAAGAATGTGGCCAATATCTTTCAGAATCTCAAACCAGGCGGACCTGCTCCAAAACTGAAAGCTGCACCAGCTGATCCGAAGAAGAAACCAAAAGGGCAACAAGAACAGGTTGTCTCAGAAGACGCTGCTGCAGTGAAGCCGAAACCCAATCCCAAGAAGCATCCTGAAGACAAGAACAAAAAGGGAAAGGGGAAAGGTAAAGGTGATGGAAAGGATCGCAGCCGAAGTCCGAGTACAGACAAAAAGAAGATACCGTGCAAATTCTTCGTGAAAGGTAACTGCACTATGGGGAAAGATTGCCCATTCAGTCACAAGAAACCCAGATCACCATCCAGAGGACCTTCTGTCGGAAAGAATGACAAGCCAGTATGTTGGATGTGGATTCGAGGAACTTGTGACAAAGGGAAGGATTGCAAGTTCTACCATGACCCAAAAGCCTCTCCTAAGAAAGGGATATCTGCACCAGCTGACTCAGGAGACGATAGGCCAAAGCCCAAGGCAAAGCCCAAACCGAAACCTAAGGCGAAGCCTGGAGCCCCAGCCATTGGCGGTGAACTCTTCATGGACGAATCCGAAGATGAAGGGGTTGCTGCATCCGCCAAGGCGAGAGAAGGAGGTGCAAAGGTATCCTTTGATGAAGAGACTTGTGAGATCATGTTGAACGAAGCGATCTACTCAGTCAGGGACAAATGGAAGGTAGTAGAAAAGAAACCTCTACGTCCGGACATCAAACGATATGATGAGAAAGAGCTCACCTGCTACACGAGGAAAGAACAAATCAGATTTGAAGAAAAGGTCGCAGAGGCAAGAGGCATATTTATGGTCCCCTACACTGAGATCAAGAGGGTCCGAATACCAGTTGGACCAAAGGGTGACCTATCGGTCACTATGTCTTTTGATGAAGATGACGGTCTAGTTTTCCATCATAAAGTCATTCCTCATGTATGCGAGGGAAAGAAAGATCATGCAGACACAAAGACGTTGTCTATTCCAGCCAAAGGATCAAGAACGAAGTTCATCATGGACACAGGATGTGGGTATGATTTGATATCGAAAGGCAGAGCCAAGAAATTAGGTCTGGAAGTGAGAGAAAGCGACCAATCAATGTCATTCTATACCGCAAATGGAGTGACATCCACAAAAGGGGTCGCTGACATTCATTTCGACGAATTTGACTCTACCTACTCCCCATTCGTTCTAGATGAGTCTCCTTCAGTACTGTCTGTTGGAAAGAAATGCATGGAGGAAGGATACACATTCATATGGCCAGCCTGCGGCAACCCGTACATGATTTCCCCGAACTACAAGAAAATCATGTTAGAAGTAGAGGGAAACATCCCATATATTGTCAAGGGCAGTGACTTCTGTACTCCCACCGACGATACAAGGGCGGAGATGATCGCAAGGTTCACTCTAGGAGAAGATGAAGCCGATTACCAATCGACTTTCATCAATTGTGATGTGGGTCCTCAAGGAATCATGTGTGATAATGACGACCTTCCTGTGATTGAACCTCCAAAAGTCAAAAGGCGAAAGAGGAATAAGAAATTCAAGGCATCTCCTGGAGAAGAAGATGAGGTAGGATCGGATGTCGCCGGAGACAGTGAACCAGAAGCTGACGATGATGATGCAGATGACATCGAGGTGGATGTCGTTGACGGTGCAAGTAGAATGGTGAGAAGAGGAACTCTGAAAGCAGATGCCAGGAAAATCGAGCATCTACTCACACATCGTTACAAGAATCCCTACTGTGAGTCATGCATCAGAGCAAAGATGAAACACTTCAAGACGCATCGAGGAGCGTTCAAGAGAAAGCTCAAAGC